TTTTTTTAATTTAAGTTTCTATGGTCATTAGTTTAATTTAATTAATGAGCCATCGGATACGACCGCTACATTTTCCGAAATTAATGGAATATTTATATTCTCTTATCCATTGTTTTCATAAGGTGCATATATCAACCTTTAACACAAATTTTTGTATTAAACACGCAATTAGATAGGACTTATTTTTTCTATGAAAGTGTAATATTGTGAAACATCAAATTTTTATTTATTTTATTTTTTAGAATATAACATAACAATTTAAAAATATTAACGTTTAATAAAGATATATAATTGTCTAAGTGTTACGGTAGCCTTGCTGCAACTTCAATTAGAGACTCCTTTAATTTGTTAATTAACTTTTATCTATTACCATATGACTAATGAGATTATTATGCCCAATCCCCAATGTTTAATTAATAGAGAATTTTTATAATTAAAAAAAAGTAAGAAAAAACTAAAAGATGAATAAAATCATCATATTCCTTGAGTAAAATTAGTTGTTATACCTTGCCACCTTGGCACTTTAATTAGTTAGTGAGATGATTTGGTTTACAAAGAGAAGATCATATCAGTCCAAACGTACATTTTATAACTTGCTTTAGAGATAAATAGAAGTGGAGGATCGGATTATATTCTCGGTTAAATATGTTGTTCTTTACAAAAATTAAATATATATATATATATATATATATATATATATANACTACATTTACCATTAGTTTATATATATATATATATAACCTTAAATTTTTTTGTAATGAAAATTAGTAGCTAATCGAATGAAATAAGTAAAGGGAAGTCCGAAATTTCTCCTCTCAAATGACATATCTCTATTCCAATTGATTATTTCTCCCAAGTATTATGAAATTTTTAAACTAATATTTATTATTTTCAAAAAATATATATATTTATGAAATTTTTTAACTACTATTTATTATTATCAATATATATATATATATATGTGTGTGTGTGCGCGCGGTTGAACCAATTTTTTTACAACTTCAGTGACCCAATAACCCAGCCAGGAGCCATTACTTTGGTTCGAAGACCTATTCGGATTTAAAAGCATTACGTATATAGTAATTAATAAATTGAGTCTTGATTAATTTATTTATTGGCAAGAATATGGTCTTCGGGTTTTACATTTAATAATAGCATTAGTTGCGTACTTTCGCGATGGTAGACTTGGTTACGAGTCCTCTGAAGTTCAGCCTAATTAACTACTATTCTACCAAAGAATCAAACGAAAATAAATAAAATAAAACAGACTAAGCAAGAGGTCAAGCAAATCTTCAAGACAATACTTATTCAAGTCAATCAAAGCAGAAAAAATAATAACACATTTAAATTAAATTAACTGACTTTAGAAGATGGCAGTTCGAAGAACCACAATTAGAGATGTGATTTGAATGCTTCCAATTTCTCAACACTTTCTCATACTATGCTGCAGTTTACGCGTTTTTATTCAAACACAAATTACTCAAGGGCATGTATGAATTTCGATGCAAATCAACTTTTTATTTCACAATTACGAATAAATTATTTATTTCACAAATGATCGTTTGTATATATATATAGTGGAGAAATTATACGAAGTCTAGATTGTTCCGTATGAAGTCATTCATGAATTGATATATCTACATATGCCTTGAAGCATGTTAGATTATTGTTATTTGAAACCTTTCGTCTCCCTAGCTTTAACAATTAAAATATAAGTTTTCGTTTTCTAACCATTTATAAAATAGATTTTTTTAATTATCTTTTTCTTTTTTTTTTTTTTTTAGGTTGAAAACATTAAATAGGCAGTCAATAATCATCTATTTATTTATTAATTATGTGAACAGAGAAAAAGGGAATTTGAAGGAGTAACGGGCCGGGCTTTTGAAATATCTCTAGTAAAGAATTCCCAGTATCAGATATATATACTTATTTTATAATACTATATGTTAACTGATTTTTAATATTTCTTAATTATATGTATTACTTTTACTCAATAATAATTTAATATTTAAAGCTATTTAAAATAAAAAATAAAAGATTAATTTTTATTTTCAAAAATTAAGAAATATAAAACTTTTAATCAACGCGGGTCTTGTACAACTACTAATTGATATCATAGCTATCTGAAAAATGAAAATTTCTATTTTATATCGATATTGTATTTCATATAATATACTTAGACAAAATAATATTAATATTGTATAAAATAATTATATATGACTACAGTGTAATATTGGAAATTATATATTTTGGGTTACACCGAATATGATATTCGTACAAGGACCTGCTCCCTTAATAGAATAGTGGGCTAGGCCTCGTGGTGGCCTGGGACAACATTGGTACGGGCCCAATGGCGATCGCCCTTCCTCTCATTCCTTCTTCTTTTTTTTATTCTCCATTAAAATTTGACACTATTAATCAACCCCAAATCGATATATTAATATAAATTGTAAAATCAAATTAGACGAATCTAATACATCACTTAATGGAAAACCTACATAAGTATGGCGATTTATTGAAGTCTCTTTTGCCAACTTTCGTAGATTATGATACTCCAAATCACAAACTGGTTCCATATAGGACTAATACATAACCTTGCGAGTTGCGATGCGCAGATATATTATATGTTGAAATGTATTAATAAATAAAAGAGTGGAATATTATAAAATAAAATATATTAATAAATAAAAAAGTGATAATACTAGTCGGAAGTTTTTATTTTCAGGTACAAAATTTAATATTAAATAAACGTATTCTACGCTTAATATGATACTTGTTGTATTAGGTATCTAATTAAGTACAAAATTTAATTTATTTTGCTTAATATTAAATAAACGTATTCTACGTTTATGCATATACATATCACCATATTATTTCTATTTATTTAAGATATATATTTTTGTACTTATGTAATAGTAAATAATATTAATATTTTTATATGATATAAGTAAAAAAATTCAACACGGGTTGACATTTTCATTTAATGTACGAGTGTTTAATTATTATGATTAAAAAAATATAATTTGACAATTTAATTAAAACCCAAAGTAATATTTTATATAAAATTAAATTATTTTAGTTTTTAAAAAATAAAAAATTTAATATTTTTTATAAAAGTTTTCTAATTCAACACTCAGTGTAATACATGGCTATTGTACTAGTACATTTAATAAGGATTAGAGTGGACTAATCCGATAGGACAAAAAGCCACCGAAAAAAAAATAAAAATAAAAAAAAGGAAAAGGGAATGAACAAAAGGAAACACATAACGATCAGAGGCTGTGGAAGAAAGCGAGACTCTGAGCAGAGACTGAAAAGACCACAATTGTTCGAGTGCCAATTGCCAACTAAACCAGCTAAAAAAAAATAAAAAGAAAAGAAAAAAGAAAGGAAAAAGGTCACAGAACAGTACAATCGTACAAATTATCACCGCTTTCTATTGTGGGCTGCGCGCTCTTATGGCGGTTATGAAGAGCCGAACTTACCGCCTATTCCGTCAATTAATTCAATAAGCTCTGTTAATCGAATTTTTTTTATTAAATTTTTAATCAAAATAAGTTTTTCGACTAAATCTAACTAGCGGACAACCTAAAATAAGCTCTTTAGATTTAATACACTAGTAACATTAATTTCTAGAAAAATAGATTAGTCTAAACAGTGGACGCAAAAGTTCGGACCATTTAACTTATGTTCATGCTACTATAGAGATGCACGACCCCTAGTTACTATTAACGAAACGTGAACAATTACAATTACGGATTAAAATCTCGCTCCTAACAATTAAACTATGAATATTGACGTAGATAACCAAACTAAATCAAACACCCATAATTCATAAACACGATACACAAATAACATGAATCAACTCATGGACAAAATAAAAACGACGTCTAGATTAATCCACGATAAATAAAAATCCTTCAATTCATAGACAAATCAAAGTTAGGTTCAAACATCTCTTCAAACTGGATAAAATAAATCGCCTAACATACTAATAAAAATAAATAAAAAATAAAAGAGAGAAAATATAATGTCCTCTAAAATAAATATGTTCTCTCCACAAATAAGTCCAAGTGTCATCAGCTGATTAAGCTCCTCCAAATAATTTTCCAGTGTAAATAATGTGTGCCTGCTTGTTCTTTTGTTTGCAAATATCCTACTCCCAATTTTTAATTCCACACGTGTGGCGTGAGTGGAGTCCAATTAATTCCCTGGCTGCATATTACATGTTCTTTGGACTCACAATCACTCCTCGTCTATTGGGCCAAAGTTGTGCACATTTTACGGCCCAATTCATTAATTATTTGGCCAATTACGTTCATGTTTCGCCTTCTATAAAAATACTCTAATATGTTGAAAAACATAAAAATATCAATGTATATGAATCCATCCAAATAATAAATAAGTACAAAAATATTAACGTGCGACTAAATTCAGCATATAAAAATACATTATTAAATATATAAAATACACACATTTTTCGACCTATCAGCCATCATCCATATCCACTAAATCGTGTCCTTCAATAGTTGATTTTAATTTTAGTACTGATCATATTGTGCAATTAGCTGTTTTTATACATCAAGCAACTAATACTTTATCAAATACTTTGCACAATTGACTATTTGTCTAATTAAATCAATTATTTTAAACTGTTAATTCAATTCATTATTGTGGGAAAATTTCAAAACTAGTGCCACAGGTATAGGGGGTGACAATTTTGGT